CCCGGAGTCTTGTGCATAGGCACAGGCTGAGAACAAAGCAAGAAATGAATGGTATAAAAGAGAAGTGGAGCATCCGGCTTGCTGCTCCTCCATCCTAGCCATGATCTTTGGCTCTTCTACATTTAGTTATACAACTATAGCTAGCTGCAAATTAGCATTGGCCATTAATACCGGTGATGAAGCTGTTTTCTGTGTCTTGCTCTTTTGGTGATTTGTCCCCCATGTGGGAAATGACACATGGTATTTCTTTCTTTCTCTAACTCAGCCTATAACATGAGCTAAAAATTGAGGCAATTAACTATGTAATTGGAAGTGTGCTCTGTAAGAACACAGCCCAGTAAGGGAAGACCTGGAATTTCACTCACAAAAGGTGTGGAAGTCCATTTCTCATCTGTTCAAGCTGACCTCATAGAGGGATTATGACTTAGTGACAGTTCCCTGATGCCTCCACTTGTGAGAGAGTATGGAAGTGAGAGGAAAGGATGCCACATTGGTTTGTGTAAGGATGGCTTCGTTCTGCACTTCCATGTGAGCCAGGATCCTCGGCTGACAAGTGACAGAGAGTGAGTCCAAACAGGCCCGCGCCTTGGAGTTGTGGTTTAGTCAGCAGCATCCTTGCCTAGCGGGCACACAAAGCCGGGGGTTTGACCTTTAGCCCTGTACAAACTGAGTGTGTCAGCCCTTGAGACGTGGAAGCAGAAGAATCTGGAGTGTAAGGCTATCTTTAACTACACAGTAAGTTCAAAGCCAGCCTGGGTTATATGAGACCCTGTTTTGTTAAAATAAATAAATAAATAAATAAACTGAATAAACTGTGTTTGAAGAGCTATGGTACAGAGCTCAGCAGTGACTGACAGAAAGGGAGACGTGAGACTTTGGACAAAAGCAAGAACCAGGGAAGCTCTAGGCTTCTGAGGGTGGTAATCAACCCTTGAACATCTTTATTGCAAGTCCCAGTGGGGGGAGCCATGCCCCTCCCTCGCAGGCTGTCACATCAGGAACTCTGTCTGCGTCCCCCTCCGGCCGTCACCACCCATGTATCTGAGGTGAGCTGCTTCTGTCCTACGGCTGACGGTGGGTATTTCCAGTACTTGTTCTTCTAGCATGAGTCTCTGGAAAACAGTATAAATTCTGTGATGGGTGTCGGGGAGGCCTCAACAGCCATTCCTCACAGAATCTGCCCCCTAACCAGCCATCATAGTCTTGTCAGCACAAAGGACAAAATCCAGCCTCCAGCCATCTCCTGGGGCAGACCGAGCTGAGGGAAGCTCAGTCATAGCAACGCAGGCTGGCGAGGGGTTAGATGAGAAGTACCGAGAAGCTGTAGTTGCGTCTTGGTAGCTCTGTCTCCTACGGTCGGAATGCTCTTTGTGGTCAAGCATCCTTGAAGCTTTGGGCTGTTGTGAACGTGTCAGAAACAGAGGAACGGGGGTGCCCTCCCACATGTGAGCACTGGCAAAGGGCCTGCACCTTCCAAACACCAGCCATCGTCATCTAGCGTTTGAATTGTGGCTTTGACACCCTCCCTGCTTTGTGGGGATCGTGGGAAGCAGTACCCCGAAAGGGAGACCCAGTTGAGCATGATTTGGGGGAGGGAATCGTCACCTTACTCTATAAACGCGCCACCGATCTCATAACCGTTCAAGAAAACGTCTTTAAAACCTATAATGCAGAACCCACCGAGTGGCTCACAGCCTTGGGCAGCCCACTCCGGTCTCTCTTTGAAGTATTCGCTTTGCTTCATTTGCTAAATAAACTGTATGCATCTCTCGACCGAATTACTTCCTTTATTAAACAAGAAACCGAGAGAGACGCTGCAGCAGGAGCGACCAGCCAGGGTATCGAGGCTTGTCTTTCCACCTGGTGTCTTACGTTCTTTGTCCAGCCATGTCCTTGAGCAGGTTTCTGAGCACAGTGCCTGGAGTTTTAGGGGCCCTCAACAGCTCCCAGCAGCAGCAGCTGCTACAATCATCACCCTGAGGGCTTCTCCTGGAACAGGATCTGGTTCAGTCTATGGAGGGCTGCAAAGAGTGTTCTTAGGGAGCTAGAGAGTTAGTAGATTTAAAAATGAATTGCTGTGTCTGGGTGGGCATCTCTGCTCACTGTCTACATTCTTCTCTGCATGTCTCCAGCTTGCCAAAGCCTCCGCCACCCACAGCAGCACCCGTTCCTTCCTGCACCCTCTCTGCTTCCTTTTCTCTGGTCTCACTTCTCCGCTCTGACCCAAACTTGCTGGTATCACTGTTTAAATAAAGCCCTGGCACTCACACCTTCCTTAGTCTCTCCCTCAGAGAGGCCAGTCAAAGGCAGCCCAGATGTTTCCCAGTGACAGAGCTGCAAGGTTGGGACCCTGCCAGTGTCTGGCCCAGCGGGCACAGTTCCCTTCCACGCCCACCTGTTTCAAAGCCTGATTACTTGTTCAAGGTTGGCTTTGTTCCCATACCTGGGTTGGCATATGCCGGTTGATCAGACTGGCCACTGGCTTGTTAGAAAGTGGAGAAGGTGGAGCTAATTCCACACATTTTTTAAGGGATGAAAGGGGAGGGCCACAGTTTCCCTATAGAAAACAAGGATGCTGTCGCTGAGTCAATGCTGAGGGGACTGTGAGCAGGCCACACTACCAAGCATCACGGCATGTGGCCCCTAAGAGGGGCAAACCCATTTCAAAAGTAAATAACACCAGCTCTAACTTGGTGCGGAGGGTTGTACGAGAAAGAAGTGAGGAACCGGGAATATCACCTTCTGAGTTACTTGTCTTCTCCTTCCCATTTTTCAGTGTCACCAAGAACTGGTTCATTGTCTTCTTTTGAATAATGCTTTGCTTTCTTGTCATCAAAACAAACCAGCATGCATTCAGTAGTGACTAATTCATCTGCCACTTTAAAATTAATAAATTCTAATAACGGGGAAGCATAGAATAAGTTGTTACTAGAAACATTAGAGAAAACTTTCTTGCCCTCCCTGTCTTTCTTAGCTCTTAGGAGGACTCCCTCATTTAATAACTGAGGTTCCCTGGTATGTACAAACCTCCACAGGCAGAATGGCTGACGAGCTGGACAATTGTATGTAAATTAATGGTTTTTGTGGCTTGGTGAATTATTCTGCGGATCACAAAGCCCATAGAAATCCTCCATGCTTCATCGCCATGGTGTTTATGTACTTAAAGGGATTGTTGCAAGATTATGCATTTCATTTCTAGCTGACAAAATCAACACGAAGTGATGAACCCATATTCTCACGTCCATTTGTGATCCCAGCATTGATTAAGCATTGGCCTTTTTCATGTGCAAGAGGGCGCTGTACGGTCTTGGGTGGAGGGGAAATGGGGCAAGTCTCTGTCCAGAATATGCGTGAGAAGGGAGTGGGTAAAACATAACAATAATAATTTTATAAAAGGCATAGTTGGCTTCTTATCCAGCATGAAGGAGCTTGACAGTCCCCCACATAACAAACAAAGGCTGAACAAACACAAAACTGTTCACTCTTCTCACATCCCTCAGAGACTTGTCACTACCTGGCAAACTGCCACCTTAAAAACTGGAAGAGAAAAGTGGGCACATTGAGTCACAGCCTCCAGAGGGCAGAAGCCAATGGCTAGAGCCAGCATTCGGAAGCACACTTTCGGCTGTGGTGGAGTGTATACACTCATTAGCAGATGAGCTGGGGAAACAGTCTAGATTTTCTGCTTTCAACCCAGTGTCTGCATCCTGTTACCTTAATACATAAATGGCTAATTCTAGAACTATCTAGAAGACACAGTGTATTCTAAGTGGAGAAGCTTTTAAGTGGCCTCCAGCCATGGGAAGAGACTGGGTGAGTTCTCCGTGGTGTAGTCTGGGTACAGGTGTTAAGGCCACTTGCTCTACTACTGGCTGATTCTCGGGCTAGGATAAACCACTCTAATTCTCTACCTCTCTCTCATCTCTTCTGGGGAAAGGAGTTTTTTTTTTTGTTTTTGTTTTTGGTTTTTTTTTTTTGTTTTTTTTTTGTTTGTTTGTTTTAAAGTGCCTCTGGATAGGGTTATTGACATAGTTCAATTAAATGAGCAAAAGATTGATGCTCCCCCCTCCCCCAAAACCCCATGTATTCTTTAGTTGTCTGTCTCAGAAAATGGTACTCAATTCATCTAGCATAGTACATCAAGGTCAAGTCCAAAAGAAAATTCTTAGTCAGATGCTTTAGCTCGTTGTCTGTTGCTATGACTAAGTGCCAGGAAGCTTTAAGAATAGAGGTTCAGGCCAGATGTGAAGGCAAAGGCCTGCAATCCCAGAGCTTGGGGGGCTAAGGTAGGAGGATCATCAGTGAGAGGCCATCTTGGGCTGCAAAAATGAGACTGTCTCAACCCCTGTCTCCAACAAGCAAAGAGTAAAGGTTTATTTAACCCAGGAGAACAGAGACCAGAAGATGCCAGGTTGAGGGGTCACATCACTTGTCTAGCTCTTTCCTTGAATCTCATGTCTACCAGGATGCCTACAAGATTCTATCTTGGAAGAAATGGTGCATCCATGCCTTAGTTTACATCTATCACCCCCATCCTGGTCCCAGACAGCGTCCTCTTATCTACTGCAGTGTGTCCTAACTGGTCTCTCTCTGTCTTCCCTTTCCTCCTACAATCCACCCTTGGCAAAGCAGCCATTTGTAAGAGTTGGGTGCCATGGGACTGTGTAACTCTCTGGTTTAAACCCGGCTGTGTAACGCCTTAGTTTGAACCTACCCAATGGCTTTCCTTTCCTGTGCTCTTCCAATGCAATCCACCATCTACACCTCTCTGACTTTGCACCAGCCTGTGTCTTCCTGCTCCCCGTCTCATCCTCACACCCGGAGAATGGATCCTAGAAATCATGTTTTCTACCTTCCAGAATAGTCCTGCTCTGGCTTTACACACTGGAGTGGACTTCCTATGTGCGGACTTAGAACTTAGCCGTGACACTTGTGTTGTGTCCTCCTTAGGGCTGCGACATGGGCAGAAAAATAGAAGTGCTAGGGTGTGCACTGGAAGTCTCCCAGGACCAGGACCAGGACCAGCCTCAGTCAGCTGTCTAAGAAGGCTGGGGAGGATGTACTAAGGGTCAGGCCAGAGGACTACAGAGCTCTGAGCACCAAAGATAAGCATTTGCTGTTCTGCTGAGTTTTGACATGGTGTGTGTGTGTGTGTGTGTGTGTGTGTGTGTGTGTGTGTGTGTGCAGTGTTACATGCACACTCAGACCCTGTCTTCATTTCTGGCTGTTTTCTTCCTCTCTGTTCCACTTGAGTCTTTTTTCTTGTCTAATACCGAACCTCTCAACCTCAGCTCTCTCAGAAGTCAGGACTGGATAAGTCTGTAAAGGGCAGTGGCGGGGGCGGGGGCGGGGGTGTAAACATCCTATGTCCCGTACATTTTAGGGCTTCTATTCACTAGATGCTAGTATTAACCTCTTCTTATCCCCAGTTGTGACAACCAAGGATACCTGCAAACACTGCCAGATTCCAGAAGGAGGGGCAAAATTGCCTCAGTGGAGAGCTACTAGTCTAGAACATTTTCTTCCCAGTCCTAAAGCTAGCTCTTTTCTGACGGGAGCCATAAGCCTATGAGACCCTTGACACACATGCCGCCATATTTGGGCTTCTCTCCTCTTTTCCTAGATCTAGGCCTTGCTTAGGTCTCCATAGCACCAGAACCTCTTCTCATAAATACCAGAACCTCTTCTCAGAAATCAGGCGACCACGCTGCAGTTAGGCAGTTAGGCAAGAATAGATAATCCTCAGAGCAACATTCCCTGCTGGCTGAACAACCCATGATTAAAGTCCCCTCCCTGCTTGCACCCCCCTTTGCCCCTGCCTATGTAGGCCTTAGGAGGAAAATAAAATTTTGGAACTTGATCAGACATCCCGTCTTGATCTCATTCTTTGTGTCTCTTGTCCCTCTCATTTGATGGCCCTCCCTTCAGGTCCCTGTTGCCACTGACCGGGGCACTTTCTGCCCTTTAGGCCCCACCTCTACTGTGGCTTCTTGGGGGCGGGAGGTGGTGGTGGCATACATGACGTCAGTGACTTGCTCAGTGATTTCTTCACTCATTTGTGTCTGCCTCCCCTCCTCCACAGTGCAATACCAGGGTCCTTGGAAAGCAAGACCACTGCCTGCTACACTCAACGTTCCCAGCACGTGACAGGCATCTCATAAATCCATTCCAATGAATGAAAGGTCAGTAGACACCAGAGACTGTAAAGCATGGGATGAATGAATCATAAAAGGGAGAAAGGGAAGAAAAGTGCCAGGAAACAGGTCCACACAGCGTCTGGCAGCTGGGAAGCGTCTGACCTTGGAAGTCACCATTCTGTAGCTGCTGCCCTCGGAGTTTTACACTGTACTACCAATGACACAAATGTTCTGGGAGCCCTGGCTGGG